AAGACTTGTGGTAAAAGACAGAGGTGGTGGATGTTATGGCAGAGGGAATGGATGGGAAGAGAAGAGAAGGAGAAGGTGATGGCAGTTGAAATAGGTGAAGACTCGAAGATGAAAACCAAACTGAGTTGCTCAATGAACAGAGTGCGATGTGAATAACAGGAACGGAAAGTGGTAGACGATCAACTGAATTTGGCTTCCTTCACTTCACTTACTGGCTGCTGCTGCTTTGCGGGCGGCCTTGGGATTGAGCAACGCTGCCCTCTGTGCGGCATTCATCTGACAATACCCAATAGTCGAGTGATCAATGTGACTCGAGCACGCGACAACAATAGTAACTCGTTGAGTTTGAATAGAGTCGATAGACGTGAGGTGGCAAGGTGATTGTTTGTTCACAAGTCGGGCAAGAGGTCTGGGGCATTCGTCATCATCGAGTCGGTCGCCAGCGCGTCTTACCCAACGGGCTCGACGTGAATATCTATGGTAGTATAAGCATGTTCTGAGAGTTGAACAATCTTGACTGAGAGCCGAAACAGAACCAGGTTCGTTTGTGCTAGCTTTATCCTCTGTTCTGTTAGGTTGGGCAGTCTAGGTTCTGATTGCTAGACTGTCGGACTCGAAGCCGAGTCCTCCACCCGGTCTGACCAAGGCACTCGACTATGGATCATCCTATATGTCTACAACACCACTCATACTAGACTGAAACATGGTCTTATGGCAATGACCATCCAGAGCTCTCAGTTCTGGCAGTACTTGGATTCTAGTTAGTAGCGTCATACACTTTCGGCAGTTTCTGATGCAATGAATCAGGGTTGTGGCTCGCTCAAGAAAGACTTGGGCGTCCAAAAGATTTCTAGAAAACACACTCCATCAGCGGACTGTCATCAATCATTCATTTCAAGCATCCTAAGTATACACGTGGTATCTGTACGAACAGCGCCTTGCAATGCCGCCCACCCATGTTTTTGAGCCTTCCCATATCCGAGCCCAAATCCGGAACGCCGAGTACCATGCTGCACTAGCACCAAGTAAACACAGGAGCCCTGCCCTTGACCATCTCGATCCTCTCTACAATGACCTTGCGCCTGTAACCTTCTTGGTCTTCTGCTGCTGCGAAACCAAGATCGCCATCCAACTCTGCATCATCGACGTCGATTTCATCATTCCTCTTGCCGATGGCGAATGAGAATCTCCTACGCTCTCCAAGATTGTCGAACAATCTTCTTGTCTCATCGAGACTGAGTCTGGACTTTGTTCGAGTTGCAACAGGGCGTTTGGATCTCGACTCTTTCGCAGTCTCGAAAGTGAACCCTTGTACGCTAGAAGGTGACAGAGGAGCGTTGCTTTCGTCGCTTCTTCGGACATCACCGCTGCTGTTCTGTCGCGAAATGTTGAAGCGGTTGTTGTTCGGAAGGTCGGGTTCAAGGAGATCGGTCTGCAGTTTCAATGGAGGCGCTGAAGCATAGGCAGCACCGATGTCCATCTCTTCTTCCTCCCTGATTCCAGGGCCCTTGATGATGTCGGTGTGCTTGTGGCGAATGTCGTTCGAGGGACGCAGCGGAACGGCCACAGGAATCTCAACGAGGTCGTCCCATACACAAACGCGAGCACGTCTCGTCAGTTCCAGAGGACCGTGATCCGGTGTTTTGAGTGTCTCTACGACATTCCATGCTTGTCCCTTCATGACAGCAATTTGACGAGCAAACATCTTCTCCTGGAAGTCGGCATCTTGCTCGAAGCACTTGCGCAAAGCAACCTGAGTCTCACTCCACCATTGCTTCGAAGTCAATAGAGGGAGGAAATGCTGCTTGGTCTTCTCTGAGAACGGACGACCGATCAAAGAGACCGGTAAGAACAGCCAACCGAATGGGAAACTTCTCCACGCATCGGGATGCTTCCAGGGCCATGACAGACTATTGTCAATGGCACCAAGAGTCACAGTGGCAGAAGATCGTGAGTTGGTCTGACCGCCCGCGGTCATTGTCTCTTGTCTCCTGTATGGATCGGCCTGTCCATTTGTGGGCTTGTTGGGTGGTTCAATGACAATCTCAGCCTCCTGACTCTGCTGATCGATCCTGATCATCCAGTTGTCGAGTCCACGATCAGTGTTGCGCATGATGTAGTCCAAGATGACAAGCTTCTCCAGCTGTTCACGAAATGACTGTTGAAGAGCGGGAGTCCAGAAAACGTTGCGAGAGCGTTGACGATCACTATAAGGTGCCTGAGAAGCATCCGCATCCTCGTCCTCATCGTCAGAAGGAGCGCCCCTAGGTCGACAGTCCTCTCCCCATCTTCTCTTCTTTCTCTTGGGCGCAGCATCTGTTCGAAACCCTGTGTTGTGTTGATCGGGCCACGGATGTTCTTTGAGGAAGATGTTTGCGTCTTTGAACCCTTTGAGGAAGACCTGGAAACTGCCCTGTTTTTCTGGGAAAGGCTTGCCTTTGCGGTAATGTGCACGCCTATCCCAGAAGTCGTAAAAGAAGGCTTTGGAGGAAAGAGTAACGACATCCGTATAAGGTACCAGATGGGTGCGTAGGCGACTGTCCAGAACATATGCAGCGGCCTCGGAGATATAGCTGAGGTTGGGAATGAGACATGCTCGTCCGAAGAAGAACGGGAAGAGGTTGCGGTGGATCCATTTGGTCCATTTGGGGTTCTTTGATGCGTATGGTTCTTCATCCTTTGGTTTGAACACACCAACGATCTTACCAGAGGTATTTCTCGCAAAGTAACTTCCAGAACTGCCCTGAGAGATGAGCTTGGGCTGCATACCCATCTCAATGGCAACTCTGACGCTCTCAACAATGTCGTCGAACTCGATCTTGGATATCCTGTCACCAGTGGGCTCGTCCAATTCTGAGGCCAATGTTTCGGCAGTGGCGGGTCGGATCCAGTCGGGAGCTTGGAAAACTGAGTGGTGTATCTCTAGATGTTCCTCCTCCTGCGATTTGCCTTTGACCTTGCGGATCTTGAACTTCTGAGCGATCTCATCAGCCCACTTCTCCAGCCTGGCATTGATGGCCTTGATGTCGACTCCAGAGTTCGTGCGTCGTCGTCGGTGATGCGGAGGACGACCCTCGGGTAGATCCATACGCTCGCGGCGTTTTGGTTGTATAGGCGCATATGTGGTGCCGTCCGCGTCGACCGAAAGACGGGACTGGCCTTGGTGCATGTCCTCATCAGAGAACACTGAATCGTCGTCCTCCTCTTCCGCTTGGGCAATCCTGGCATAGCCAGACGTAGCTGGTCTGGACTTGCCCATCATGAGCTGTGTTGAGTGTCGTCGAGATAGACAGGTGGCCAGTCAAAGGCGGGCACCTGGGCTGCGTCCAGCTTGAACACGAATGTCGATGGAATGACGACCGGGGGTGCCAAGCTTTCTCCCCAGGTACCAGATACAGGGGTTGGTATCAACATCGGGAAACCTGGAACATTTGACTGTTGCAAAGTCTCTATCTCCATTTACACAACCCTACTGCTGTCTGCTGGTAGGGACTAGACTGTAGTCTGACAGACACGAGACGCAAGGCAGACATCTTTCTTCAAAAACATTGTAGACCTGGGTAGTAGCTGCTTATCGTAGCTTGACTTGTCAACAACGATGGTTGCGATAGAACAGTCGTCGTTGCTCGATAATAGATTTCAACCCTCGCATATGATTGCACCGCCCCGAGCAGTCGAACCATGCTCGCTTGTGTACGCCGGGATCATTGCAAAGTCTTTGGTAAATGAAGAGCCCCCTCGAAGGCCCCCTGATGAACCTGTTCCCCCGGATCAGCGAAGGCGGCGGCAGGGTCCAAGCTTATTGACACCTCGAAGCAAAGCCCTCTTCGTCCTTGCTATACATCATGTCAATCACAATCAAGTATCAACGACTACTGTTATCACGACGATTCATACCTACAATCGATCGGCGATCTCTTCCGCAAAGGATGGACCTCATCTCTGTTCATGCGTGGCAGGTCAGGGATAAACTTCGTATACTGGTCTACCGCCAATCTCCTGCCTCGACCGTTATGCAGCCGTCGAAGGCAAGCTGTACTTTGATTACAGCTGCGGCTCTTTCAAGGAGCGTTGTTTACTGTTGATCTGTTCCTGACTCCACAGATGACGCCGCAAAGAGTTATGTCGATTGTCTATCCCGAGGAATGAATTGACAGATGCACGACCAATCTGAACTTGAAAGATGCGGAATGTTGAGACACTTTGAGGTCGACCAGATGCACGATTGAAAAGACGTGGATGGCCTTGGAGTAGTGCAGAACAAGCTCACTGTTTACCATGGATCATAGTGCTGTCACAGCTATCAAGTAAGATAGAAACGCAGGACGGTAGACACAACGCTTACTAGAACCGCTTTTTGCGCTTTCGCTGTTGTTTTGGCAATTTACCTCGACGCCGAACTCCAAGCCTCTACCGTTGTCATTACATGGTCGCCACCCCTGGGCAAGGCTTCAGGACGTATGTATACTTAGGCACACGCTTTACAGGTAATTGATTGACCTACGACCTCTACCACGACACTCTTTTCGTTCGGCACCCTACTACTAATCGCTTCTTAATTCAGTCTTTCAATCTTTTAATACCTTCTGATCCACACTCCTTTGATTCGGTCCATACTTTATCTCGTCCTTCACCAAGCCCTAACCGATTGACGATATTTCAAAAACATTGACGACCTAACTGCCGCCACGATGCTTCACCGATCTTCCATGGACGTATACAGACCTGCCTCGATTGATACATCGTACAGACCTACTGTGATGGATGCCTACAGACCAAAGTCTTCAATGGGTCTTCACTACCCTGTCACTCTTACGCCTCCAATCTATGCCGACGACAGACCATTCTTTGCACACATGGGACATGAAATTCCTCGACCATCTTCAGCAGCTCCCATGTACTCAGCACCACACTATTCTGTCCCTCAGCGATCGTTCAGCGGACCAATGCAACTTCCAGGCGTGTCAAGCTTGGGACCGTTTGGAGGAAACTCTATGGCAATGATGCCCAGGTAAGCATTCCTTTCTGAATTTATTGTTATTGCTTGGAAGCGGCGAGGTAAAGTCCTCTCCTTGTGCTAAAGACTGTCACAATACAGCTGTAGAAATGCATAATACTTTGCGGGAAAGAGCAGCATCCACTGAGAGTCTTGATTCTATCGGCTCTCCTTGGATCTTGTCTCTTGTCTAGAAGCAATTGTACGTTCCTATAGCTGCATTGTGATAGTCTGCTGCATACGGAAAAGGCAGGAAGCAGCCTCGGCGATAGGGAAAGCGCGCCCGAGATAAGGCGGCCCAAGCTTTCGGGATCTCTGCCCTACCCTATCAGCGCATGGACATTGTCAAGGCATCTCACAATTGACACAGGACTGATTCTTCCCCTTCGCAGGACCTCTAGTGTTATGCACACGATGAATTACGCAACTTCGGCGCCTGCTGCCACTGCTGGTGGCCAGCAAAACGGACCTGTACGTTATTCCCTTCTTGAGCGTCGGTCGCGACGCGCATTTCGTGCTGGAAAGGACCCTCGTCTTATCCTTATCTCCCAAATCTATCGATAACGAGCTGACCATCTACCACATAGCNCTGTATGCCAGAACTGCGGCACAAGCACCACTCCGCTATGGCGTCGTGACGAGATGGGCTCGGTCCTGTGCAATGCGTGTGGCCTCTTCCTCAAGTTGCACGGTCGCCCTCGTCCTATCAGTCTAAAGACAGACGTTATCAAGAGCCGTAACCGCGTCAAGACGGCTACCGGCCCCAAGAAGAAGGTTGGTCAACTCGTTGCACTTCACCATCACTGTCGCATACTAACACCAACCCAGCCCTCGCTCGAGTCGCCCGGCTTCCATCACGATGTCAACACTCCCATGGGTGCATACCCTCCCCACCGCCGTCACTCGGACCGCATGTCTGGCGAACACCAACGCTCTCCCTCGCCCTCGTCTCGCAACAACACGCCTGGCATGGCCTCGCATCACAATCCCAACATTGCTCCTCAGCACGTCTTCGATAATGTTTCCTTGTCCGAGTCATCCTTCCAGCCTGCTGGTCTGCCCACATTTGCCCTCCGCCAGCCTTCTCCCGCACCATCAGTCAATGGAATGCACCCCGACCACGGCCACCAGTACCACGAGAACAACGGCTCTCTCAAGACCCGCGTGAGCGAGTTGGAAGTAATCAACGACCTGTTCCGCGGTCGCGTCGCCGAGCTCGAACAGAGTGAACAAGATGCCCGCACAAGGGAGGCTTCTGCCCGCGATGCCGCAGACCAATACAAAGCCGACCTCGACGCTGCCTTGACTCGTGAGGCCGCTCTCAAGAAGAGGGTCGAAGATCTTGAAGCAGAGGTCGAGTCCTACAAATCACAAGCAGCACCACCACCCAAGCGTCTCCGTCTGAGCGACGTTGTCCGCGATGACAGCTCATCCAACGACTCCAAACCTGCTGTGTCTTCCGAGTCTACGACTGTGACTGCTTGAACGATCTCTCTTCACATCTTGTGAAATTAATGCTTACGGCGGCGTTGGTTTGTTCTGTTGTTAATGATGTCAAAGGAAAAGAAAGGCCATACCCCTGTTGCCACTTCCTGTTGTTTTTCTGATGCCCTGGTTGCATCTCTTCTTTCTACGTTACACCCCTTCTTGTCTGATACCATAGAATGACAAGGACCATGATTCTTCTCCTTCTTCACATAAAAGACCGATACAATTACTCTATAATCCAAAAAGAACCTCTTCACAACAAGCTGAATTTCCCTCATTCAACATGTCTACGTAACCTTCGTTTGCACAGCCTTTCCACCGTTGTTTTTTTTCATTTCGATCTACACAGTACCGTTTGATACTGCAATCTACCTGTGCCCTGATGGTGTAAGATGACCGACTGTGCCCCCAACGGCGTCCTCCAGTACGAGAATAGTGTTCATGTATGTCATAGCTGATCATCGCTCTCTGTTTCAATGAGCCGAAACCGAGTAGTGGGCGAATGGAAAGAAGACAATCCCTCAGGTCTCCCTGGCTTCGCTCCTAAAGATCCGAAAGAGTATGTCTCTTGACAAGCAGAAGTCTCCGTACGAGGAAGCCGAGAGCTACAAGCTGCAGCGCAAGCAAAGGGTTGGAAAAGAATGTCAATGTCCCAACTCCAAACAATCAGAACACTTCAGAATCGGGGGTTTCAAAGCACAAGGCAAGTAAAGACAAAAAAAAGGAGGTAGAAGCATTATCAAGAGAACATTATGACCCCTATGCTATATACCGTAACAACAAAACAACCAATACTTTTTTTTTGTCACAGTCCTTGTTCCTTCACGAACCCGATATTTGATTTTTTTCCCCCCTAATACAATCTCCAAAACGTAGCGGTAAATACACAAACAGACAGGAAGAAATATTCTGACAATAACCAAAGGGACAAAACCCAAACCAGAAAGGGCTCTTCCTGAAAAAAAAAAAAAAAAAAAGGCTTTTGCTTTATAAACAGCAGACACCCCATAGATCAAGACGAAGAACTATCTGCCACCATTTACACTTCTTGAGTTTCTTTTGTTCTTTGGGCTTCTTGTCTTTCTTGGGCTTCTTGTCTTTCTTTGGTGCCCCTTCCTCACTGGGTGGTCCTTCCTCGTTGGGTGGCCCTGTGCTAGGATCCTCAACAGGCGCCTTATTGGGATTGATCTCCAATTCAACCTGCAGCTCGTACTCTTTGAAGCCTTGGGTAACGACATTTTCGACGGATGGGCCACCAAGTCCGGAGATTTCTCTGGCGAAACAGTCTGCTATGCCGATACCATTCCACGCGGCCAGTGTGGCGTGAGCCTCGAAGGAGCCGCTGCGGGGGATGAAGACCCAGGAGTCTAGAGGTGTGCAGGTGGTGAGGCGTCCCACTAGGGTGAGGGAGATGTCGGCGGCAATAGCCCAGGCACCGCTGCCACTGATGGTAAGAGAGCCGTCGAGGGCGAGGTCGATCTCGCTGGATTCGGGTGTGTTTGGTGGTGGGATGGGAATCTCTGTCGGCATGATGGTAGGTTGAATCGAAAGTGTGACAGGAATCGTCGGGTTGGGTACAGGCACAGGAGTCGGCCACGAGTTGTACCTTCCAAGCCTTTCGATTTCCCAGTTGGTTGGAGGAGTCTCTGCAAGCCAGGCTACCGAGTCGTATAGATCCTGTTCGGCACTGTATTCTCTGGACTCATAATCAGGTGGGTCTTCGTATTCTGGAGGCGGCGGATATGGATCCTCAGGACTATACGGCGGAATTGCAATTCTATGGTGCAATTGCTGCGCCAGGTCTTCGGGAAGGTCAGGTTGTTGTCGGAATATCTCTTCGAGAATCGGGTCTGGTTCTGTGATCCTGTCCAATTCTTGTCTTACCCATTCTCGTCTGTACAAACGGTCTAGTATGTAGTCTTCGTACTCTTCCAATGTATCAAAACGCTCAGGCACCAGGAGTCGTATCCGACCGTTTTCGTCGAGTTCGCTTTCCTCACGGAACGTGATGTCGAGTCGAACAAAGATGTCATGGATGGTGTCTACGAGACGATCCTCAGCCGCATAGCCAAGACGCAGATCGAGAGCCATTCTCTCGGTCTCGCCTTGAAGATGCAATCCTAGGTCGGCGATATAATTTTCCATAAGGGGTGGCTGTTCTTCAAAGATCTCACCAAGAAATTCTCGATCTCGCCGCAAGAACCCGAAGAATCTTGCCAGACGCAGTAGACTGACACGTCGACTCAGCAGCTCCCGGGTGGCTCTGATGGCCCGCTGGACTCCTTCCGAGTTGGCCAGGTCCGAGCCGACGACTGATAGGATTGTTGCTGGTACTGCGGCTTCGAGTGCGGTTCTGCATGCTCGGTTACACTCCCATCGTTGCCATCTGTCGCCGACCATCAAGGCAGTACAGTTGACGGTCGAGTTGTCGTATCGGATATGCTCTGTACCATTATCGACAGTGGTGTTATTGACACAAGCCTGGGAAGGAATACATCGTGAGAATGGGGCCTGAAGATTGTATAGTATCGCCGAGTGTTGAAGAGGAGGACTCAATATAGCAAGTAGTAGTTTTGGGAACAAACTCACCTCGGTTTCGTTGTCTGGCTTAGTAGGTAATCTACCCCACTCCACACCAGCAATGATAGCCATTCTATGAGCAACCATAGCGTTGTTTGGACGGACATAGGTGGCTTGGGAGTTGGTGCCGTTGACTGTGGTCGTTTCGTGGGTCTCTGTCGGGGTGGTCTCTGATTCGGAGACAATTTCCCAGCCGCCCTCGTCTGTCGAGGTAGGCTCCGATTCTGAGACGACAGTCCAGCCATCACCGTTTTCGTCAGGACCCATTGTAGTAGGAGCATGCTTGACACGCCAACTTGTCGAGTAAGTTGTTGCAGAGTCGGGAGAGCGATCGATGAATTTTGTCGAGAGGGTTGAGCCGATGTTGCTTTCCAATGCAGATGTTGACAGAGCAGCAATGCCCATAAGAGCAATTGCCTTGGAGAGTAACATCTTGAGCGATGTATTTCCTTCGGTGCTCGTGGACCAGAATCGAAGCAGGATTGGGAAACGTCGTCTCCATATATGATTACCAAAGAAGTCTTCCCCTCATGCTGTCAAGGAGAGTTTCTTGGTTCTGCCTCATTGTGGGTTGCTACTAGGCGATCAACAGACAAGTGGAGCTCTTGGAGGCCAACAAGGGGAGAAGCCGAACAACTTCTCTAAGAACGAGTCTGACGACAAACCTTTGGGAAGGCACGCTGGTCAGATCGAAAGTAGAACTTTTCAAGAGCAAGGGTGTCCTGCATCGTCATTGGTTACGACCGCAGTCTGTGTAGAATCATGTCGCTCGCTGACCACAGAAGTGGGGCTTGACTGAGCTATCCGTAGAAGCAGCAAGTGGTCGTGTGAGGTCGGCACTAATCGCAACTCAATTCATGGCGATGGTTCTATTGCTTCAACAGACAAGGCGCAGGTCGTTCCATGTTTCTGATGGCACTGCGGGGGCTTGGCGGGGCAAGTATAAAGACTATTGTTGTTCACTTGAGCAGGTTCAGCATTAGCTAGATATAAAAAAGTGTTTCTCTCTCAAAATCTGAGTATGCGCATTTCGTCAGAGTATATGCCTCAACTCCGCATCCATTAAACCACGCCAGATAAAGGGGCGCTCATAAAACATCTGCTAGGGGAAAAGGTAAAAGCGAATAAGTGGTGTTGAAAGAAGAGAAGTTCTGTAAAACGGCAAGGCTTGCATGACCACCAGGACTTGGTTCTGAAACCCGGATCGAAAACAAGCGCTATCATTCATTAGTTTTCGAAGATGGAGTCCGCGTGTTCAAGCAGCGCCTGCACTGCCATACGCTGGGCTTGCATGTCCGACATCTCGCGTTCAATGCTCAAAGGTCGCAGGATGGTGGGTGCAAAGACAACCGAGAGATTGAGGGGTGTCATCNNTGTAACCTGTCAGTTCTTGAAACCATGATTCGTTGTAAGGAAATGTCATACCAAATTCTCTGACTCCTGCTTGACTACGCGGCATAGATGCTGTACCAAATACTCCAGCACGTCGTGATGAGCTTGTGGCATAGCTTCCAATGCAACCTTGATGGCGGCAATCTGCTTTTCCTTGTCCGTGATCTGAGCCGCTTCGAGCAATGGGTCATAGGCCTCGTACGTGATGAGTGGGTTCGGTAGTTTGCGGAAGTATTGCTTCAGCGCGCTAGTGACAGCATGAATGTCAAGATCCGGATCAGCAATGTCGTAGGTGCCATCTCTTTCGAAGCCTTGCTGAATGAGTTTGACCTGACCACTTCCGCCAGACTTTCTGTAGATGCCTTCCATATCCATACCACGCTTCTCAACCTCTTCCACGCAGTGCGTAACAATCGAGGGTAGAACACGCTTTTCGAAGTCGCAACGCTCACGAAGATCAGATCCGAACAGTACTACAAATATGTTAGTGTGTTGATTAGGCAATATAGTATCTGTCAAAGACTCACCAGAAGGACTCTCGGCAAGCAGATTGGAGCTGCTGCCATTCTTTCCATGAACACCCTGAACCCCAGGCTTGAGACCGTTCTTCGGACCAAAGAAGCCGAAGCCCTTTGCATCACCGGCTCTCGGCAGAGGTTGATCACCCATGACTGCACCAGGGCCTGCTTGCATCTGAGAGTATGGCATACCGGTGATGTCGTAGGTACCGTCAGCCTTGAGGGGAACTCCACGATCGTTGCTGCCGGCGAATGCACCTTTGATGCCTTTGGTGACGTTCTTAGCAAGACCGGATGAGCCCTTCTTCCAGTTGAATTTCTTGGGTTGTCCTTTGCGGATATTGACCACCTGGGGTGCTGTGAGGACGGTAGCTGGTTCTGCATCCGCTGCATGTGGTAAGAGGTCATGCAGACTGGTAGATTCTTGCAACGATGCGGAATGGAGCGAGGCCATGTCGCCCCTGTTCGACCCGTTGTAGATGCCCAGACCGTTAGTAAGGGGCGACCGCTCGATGTTGACATTCTTGACGTTTGACGATCTGTACATCTCTTGAATACCGCTAACGAGCTGATTGTTCAACTCAGCAAGCTGAAGATTCTTCGAAGATAGAGATTCGAACTCCTGCAGGCCCTTGTCCTTGACTTGAATCAGGGTTGAGATGTCGTCCGTGAGCTCGTTTCTCTTGTGCACAAGGTCTTCGATCTGCGAGCCAAGATTGTCTTTCAACTTTTGCAAAGAATATGCGAAGTCCTGCAGAATCTCAGATTTGAGTTGACTGATGTCCAGAGGCTTGTTGCTCTCTTTGGCTCTGGTCAGGTGCTCGGTCATGATCTCTAGTTCACGAACTACCATCTCACGCTGAGTATCGAGGAATGCCATGGTCGAGCGCTTCTCACGCAGTTCAGTGTTGACCTGCTTGATATCGGCCGATGTGTCCATCTTCTCCTCGAGGCCGAGCTTATCGGCTTCAAGCTCTGCAATCTTTTGTTGGGCACGACGCAATTGGGATCTCAAGGATGCGACATCCATCTGACCAGGCGAAGAGATCGGGCTGGTAATCAGGATAGGGCTGCTGATGTCTGCCGAACTGATGGTGGGTGTCTTTTGGAGGGGTATTGATTTGTCGCTGAAGCTTCTGCCATGCTTCACTGCGTTCGAAACACGACGAAGGACGCCGGCATGCTCATTCTCCTTTCTCTTCTGCTCTTCACCTCTCAAGATTCGGGACATTTCTTCTTCCATAGAGAAAGCTTCCCCAGCACTATGCTTTGGCAGGTGTGTACGCCAGCCTTTGGGTGAGGCTGCAGGGTTGTGATCATGTTGAGGGTTGCCGACAGACTCGGCACGTGGGCGTTCGGTCGCAGGAGGTGCAGGAGGGATCCTGGGAGCTATGAAATCGTCGTTGGCAACAGACTTGCTTGGGGCAGAAGGACGGTTAGCAGCTCTGGGCGGTGCAGTCGGTATGCCCATATCACTTGTGTTGTGAGACTCGGCCTCGGGGCGGGCGTGAGTCGGGGCATCGACGAATTGGGCAGAGGTTGAAGACTGTTTACGTTCGTGAGCAGCATCGGACTGTTTGAGAGCCGGAGTGGATTCGGGAGAGGTGACGCGTGAGGATTGTGTCTTGTCGGTGACTGGTGGCAGGGAATCACCTCTGGCGGGATGCTTTGCAGCTGCTGGGCCGGCGCTAGACGAAGCTTCGCGGAGCTTGGGGTCATCGAAAGGATTGATGCTCGAGCTGGGTGTATCCACAGAGGCTGGCGATAGGGACAGATTCGAGTCGGTTGGAGTGTGTCTCGATTGATGCTGGGTATCCAAGGAGGTGGGAGAGTTTTTTCCGACAAGCGGGCTGTTGCGCGACACTCTACGATCGCGGGGCACGTCTTGAAGTTTGAAAGGCTCTGGGGGTGCCAGATTGAAGGAAGCGCTGTTTGCTTGTGGCAGACGAGGGCGTTGTTGGCTAGTAAGAGACGAGGGTGAAGCGACGGCTGATGCGGTGACAGGTGTGCTGCTACCCGAGACATTGCGAAGACCCTGTTGACGGCTCTTGTCGGCGTGACCTACACCAGGACTGCGAATGCTCTCGCGCTCGGTCGATACCGATCGTGACGATGACGGTCGGTTTTTGTTGGCTTGGGAGAAGGCACCTCGAGGAGAGAGGTTGTCGGACATTTTCGGCGTGGTTTCGGGGTTTGCACGACGTGGCAGAGGGGGAGGGGCAGGGTTGGGGTCGTAGGCCATGGGAAGGAAACCGTCGTCGGCATCAGACATGGAAGTCATGGTGTTAGATGACATGGTCGAAGCGCGCTCTTGCTTGTATGTGCTCGCAGGCAGAGTAAGAGTGTCTGGCGTCTGGTCCGATGGGGCACTCATGTGAGACAAGTGACGGCTGCTGCCTCTCTTGCTGTCATCAGACAAAGACATTGGCGATGTATCCCGCTGTCTGTCATGGCTGGCCCTGAGGTGGTCACTGGAGTAGGAGCCTGAAGGCGAAGGCTCTCGCAGGGCGCTCTGAGAGACGGCGTTTGGTGGAAGCGCAGGCAGGCTCTTGTCCAGCACTATGGGGTTGTTCCCTGCAGCAGCCAACTGCTTCGAAGCCTTTGCCTTTTTCCGCCGTCTGGCCATCAAGCTCTCGTGGCAGCTCATGCAGAAGATACCCTGGCTGGTACGCGCATATCGTAGGTTTTCGATCTTCCTCTTGCAGTTGCGACACTTGAAGCAAGTCGCGCAGAAGGCTTGATCGCCGGTCAAGATGGCGAGGTCTTCGATTTTGTTACCGCAGGAGCTGCAGCTGTATGTGCAGTTGTTACAGATGAGAGAGCCATCGCCCAGCAGCAGCAGGTTTGCGTCCGAGTCGAGGAGGGTGGCGCACGAGTGGCATCGGAAGCAGCCAAGGTGCCATCGGTGGCCAGCTATACACGTCTCTGTCAGCAAGAGCACTACCCCTCGACGCTGTGTGTGACTTACCAAGNNCTCAAAGGCTCGCCCCTGTTCTAGAATNCTGCGTAGGGTGAGAGTCAGTCGAGCTGTAGACACACGGCAATGATTGCAATCAGATACCTCGCCGCAGCCTTTGCACAAAAACACCTCGTCCTCCTCTGTGGGGGACTCTGGGTAGTTGGAATTGGTGTCGGTATCCATCTTGGTCGGTCGCGGTCGCGGCGATGGCGGAGGGATGACAGCCTGGTGTTGACGAAGGTGCGGCCGTCAATCGCCGGCTAAGTAGAGATACAACAGGCCCCAGACGTGTACGGTCGTGGGCGACGATGGCGCGGACGAGCGAACGGGTGCAGTGAACGGGCAGCGGATGTGTTTCGCAGCAGCAGGGCGGGTGTTTCAGCGAGTGGAATGGCTATGTCAGCGGGCGGAGAGGGCAACGGCGGGGCCTGGTGCAAGACCTCGTCCGGTGTCGATTGCTGGTCGTTACGTGCGCACGCATGCGATGGGAGCTGTGGGAGCAGTCGACAGAGCAGTGCAGTCGAGTGTGTTTGGACTTTGCAGGAGACACGCCGGATCTCAAA